CCCTCTTCATTCTGTATTGTCCCTGTTAACTTCGATCATACAAAAAGAACATTCCCCAAATGCCTTGAAGCTAAGTACCCTGACTAAGCATCAGCCGAACCTTGCAATGCTCCATAGCAAGCCCACAGGCACAAACCCTGATGTGCACATCATTGTGAACTTTTCTTGATGAATTTTCTGGTTATCTGAAATCTCTTATAAAATGCTTTTTTTAAATTTTATTTATTTATTTATTTATTTCGGTTTGATAGATCTCCAATACAGATATTTGAAAATTTGTAGTGATTAGACTACAAATTAGATATTAAAATATTAAAAAGATATATAGATTGGGACTAAACAAGCTTAAAGAATTAATGATGTGAACAATTTGTGGAATAGATGATCAATGACAAAAGGGGCCAAAAGCCCACTAGTATTTCTTAAAAATTTATAAAAACTCTTTCAAACAACTTACCAAAAATGGGAGTAAGTAATATTGGTTTTAACTGATCTAACGAGTGACAAGGTTTCACCTTTGGAACAACAGTTATTAAGGAATGTTTCCATAGATCAGGAAAATTGCCTGAAAGTAGACAATAGTTAAAAATTTGAGACAACGGAGTTGCCATTTCAGCAGCAAATTCACAAATAAGCTTTATTGGCAGGTCATCCAAATAATGGGATTTGGACAGTTTAACCGGAGTCCCCAGTAAACCTCATAGTCCTGGATGATGGGTGGGGGTTAGGGGAAGGAATTCCGGCAACAAACTACGATCCAGTGGTGGAAGAGACGAACAGGTGGTAGTGAAATGATTGATGATCATGTCAGCTTGGGCAGTTGGTGACTTTTTACTCCTAGGTAAGGGCATTAACTGTTTGTTGAGGCCTCTAAGATACTCAAATGTTGGTGCTACTTTCCTCCCTGTTGATTCCTCAGGTTGCCAACTTTTACAGGATTTGAACCGTCTTTCAACTTTGTTTCGAAGATTTGTAAGCTTTTTGACGTTGTACAATGAGTGATAATATAAAACGATTGGTAATCCGTCGTTTGGTAATGTGTAGCGAATCACTGATTATTACAGGCGATTTCAATTTTCATGTTGATAATAGTGAATGCAACGATGCCATACATTTTCTTGAGTTGCTGGAATCAATGAATTTGAGACAACATGTGGATTTTCCCACTCATGTGCATGGCCATACATTAGACCTGGTTATCACAATCTAAATCCATTGTGAATGGTCTTGTATCTGATCGGTTGTTTTGCGATCACTTTGCAATTACATGTAGGCCTATGTGCTCTCTTAATTTTTCCAAACCAACAATGTCCGTGCAGACGTTTTCTTCTCGGAAGATTAAGGCTATGAATGTTGACAAATTTATGAATGTCATTTTAAGCAATATGTTTTTATCCTCAGGAGATCATGCATGTGTAAAATGGTCTTTTATTTAATGATCATACTCCTTGTGTAATGAAAACTGCCGTTGTGCGACCTCGGGTTCCTTGGCCCAATGATGACATTAAATCAGTGAAGCAGTGTCGGAGAAAGTATGAGAGAAAATGGCGAACGACCAAACAAGAATGTGATTTTATCCTTTTTTTAAGTGTACGAGGAACAGGGTAATTTTACTTATGAACCAATCTTGTTGTAAATATAATACTAACTTTATTACTAAGAATAACAGTGATCCTAGGCGGTTTTTAAGGCTAGTGCATCTCCTTTTAAAGATTAACATCCATAACTCAGTGTTCCCTCCACTTTAATTTATATAATGGGTTTTGCCCTTACCCAACGTATATACTAACTAATAAACGCTGTATGCTCAGTGCTTGTCCGAGAGCTTGCAAAAAAAGAAAAAAATCACAAGCTTACTCGGGTGGGACTCGAACCCACCACCTCCTACTTACTAGTGCAGACAAGCACTGAGCATACAGTGTTTATTAATATATACGTTGGGTAAGGGCAAAACCCGTTATATAAATTAACATCTCCCCAACGCAAAAATACATCTTGAAAATAGTTCGCAATACCCGCTGCTTCACCTGACTCGGACCGGCCAGCCGACCCCGGCAAGCTCGGTGGTCGAGTGGTTACGACGTCTACACTAGTAAGCAGGAGGTCGTGGGTTCGAGGCCCAGCCGAGTAAGCTTATGACTTTTTTCGCAAGCTCTCGGACTAGCACTGAGCATACAGTGTTTACTAATATATACGTTGGGTAAGGGCAAAACCCGTTATATAAAATAACATCTCCCTAACGCAAAAATACATCTTGAAAATAGTTCGCGGTACCCGCTGCTTCACCTGACTCGGACCAGCAAGCTCGGTGGTCGAGTGGTTAAGACGTCTGCACTAGTAAGCAGGAGGTCGTGGGTTCGAGTCCCACCTGAGTAAGCTTGCAACTTTTTACAAGCACCGAGCATACACTGTTTATTAATATATACGTTGGGTAAGGGCAAAACCCGTCATATAAATTATCATCTCCCAAACACAAAAATACATCTTGAAAATTCCCTCCACGGGTTAATGATTTTCAACTAGCCAATAACATGGGGTTGTTTTTTTTCTTAGCAAAGTTGGTTCCATTCCTGGTAGGTTTTCCAGTACGGATCAGTTTAGATGTTCCACTCAAAATGCACCTGACATGTTAGTTTGTCCATGTCTTTCTGACTTTGATCATGTCACTGAAGATTGTATGAGGAAATCTATTAATGGTTCATCGGAAAACTCATGCCGGTTTTACAGTCCCAATTCTCACTCATTTGTTGATGGATGATTTTGATGTTTTACTACCCTTTATCACTCAAATCATAAATGTCTCCATAAAGAAAGGCTGTTTTCCAGAACTTTGGAAGTCATCTGTTTCGCTTCCTCTCATGAGCAACACCGGGTTTTGATGCCAAGGTTGAAAACTATCGTTCTGTTTAGTAACTTACAGATTATCTTGAAGATACTCAAGAAAATTGTTTGTGATCAGTTGCACTTGCATCTTACTTCGAATAATCTGTTATCGCAAGCTTCATAGTACTGGAACTGCGTTACCGAGGGTAAAAATCACTTCGTTTTCTCCATCCACATGGGCTACAGCGGTAACCACAAACTCAACTGTCAGGATTTTTCTTTTTTGTGGGCAGAGGCAATGTTATTGAGCCGTGTGCGTGTGCAAGTGCCGTACTCTTGTTCACGGGAGTACCACAGACAATATTGTTAGCATTTACTCTCGAACTGTCTGCGGAAATTGATTTGAAAAAATCCTAAGCCCCACATATGCAAATGCAAAATACGTTGGAGAAGTGTTCAGCCATCTGACTATTGTCCTCAGGGCAAAAGTTTACGTTTGGCTCGGCGGATAATTTTAGAAATCAACCCCATCAACCGAGTGTTGTACATGAGAAGGCTCAATGCCACGAAGTATAATGGCTGACGTGCAAAACTACCCAACCTGTAAACCACTTGAAAATACCAGTTTCAGTGTAAAGTGTACATATGGGCACTTCAATATTTAAAAAGACGATTCAACTCTTCCAGGTTTGACTTTGACTTTTTGGAGAGGTTTTTCTGCACAAGTCATGGCCTCCCAAAAAATGTCTCGGTGTTAAATACACCACTTCTGTAAAAGAACGTGTAGGCCTATTTACCCACTCTACAAGAAAAGGGAGCGATTGAAGGGCCAAGCAATCGTTCAAGAATTAAATATGTGGTCAGTTTGGGTGTTTCAAAGACATAATACAGAAGGAATCGCGATGTGTGTTTAGGTCTGAGGGAGACAGATGTGAAATCATGGCGCATTGATTAGCTGAAACTCAAATTCATCTTCTGTTGACGAGTCTGATCTCAAGCCTATAAACAATTTTGAAGAAAGTTTTTGTTCAATCCCATGGTATCTGCATGTACCTGTATATCCGATTTTTTTTCAAGTCTGCTGTCTCCAAACAGAACGTTTAGTACATTGTATATCGATCAAGCATTCTGGGCATTTTGTCATTTCATATTGACGAATAGAGCAGCAGTACAGCTGAAAAAATTAAGTGGGTTTATGCACGCTCGGGGACGGATGTCGTTACTCACAAGGAAGTAACTCTCAGTCCGACACGCTTTGTATCGAAACAAACGTGCCTTGTGCACAAGTTCAAAGTTTATTCGTTGACGCCCATGGATTTTGTATAGGCCTAGCTCACGTCACCGCTTGCTCAAAAGCCTTTATGTCAAGGATTGGCTCTCGGCAAAATCTTTAGAAACGTTTTCCATTAAGCATGCAAAATGTGATGGCATATCTTTGTTCACGTCAAAGCTTGGTTTCAGCCTGTTTGTGGTTTCGTCTTCTCCCTCTGTATTTAATACATGCTGAAGGGATGACCTTCACTGCGGTGTCTAA